CTATGTCTAGTTGATTTATAGTCTTTTTTTTTTTTAAGATTTTATTTATTTATTTTGACAGAGAGAGAGAGACAGCGAGAGAGGGAACACAAGCAGGGGGGAGTGGGAGAGGGAGAAGCAAGCTTCCCACTGAGCAGAGAGCTCGACGTCGGGCTCGATCCCAGGACTCTGGGATCATGACCCAAGTCGAAGGCAGAAGCTTAATGACTGAGCCACCAGGTGCCCCTAGTTGATTTATACTCTCAAGTCTTCAGTTTCAGTGCTGATCTTCAGTCTGTTTTATACAATATTGAACATGGGGTATTGAAGACACCAACTATTATTTCTAAATTGTCTATTTCTCACTTCAGTTCTGTCAGTTTTTGCTTCATGTACTTTGGGCTCTCTTTTAGTTGTATATCTTTATAATTCTTGTATTTTCTTGATGGATTGACCATAGTATCCTCTCATTACATTACATAGTATCCTCTCATAAAAGTTTTTGTCTTAAGATCTATTTTGTCTGGTATTGCTATAGCCCCTCTAGCTATTTTTTTGGTTACTGTTTGCATAGAATATATTTTACCATCCTTCTACTTTCAAACTACTTGTATCTTGAATCTAGAGTCTCTGGTAGATAGCATATAGTTGGTCATTTAAAAAAAAACATTCCAGGGTTGCTTGGGTGGCTCAGTCAGTTAAGCGTCCAACTCTTGATCTCAGCTCAGGTCTTGGTCTCAGGGTAGTGAGTTCAAGCCCTGTGTTGGGCTCCACACTAGGTGTGGAGCCTACTTAAAAACAAACAAACAAAAAACACTCCATTCTGTTCATCTCTGTATTTAATTGGAGAGCTTCATCCATTTTATATCTGGAAGGAGTTATTACTGCCATTTTGTTATTTGTTTTCCACGTGTCATATCTATTTTGTTCCTCAGTTACTCCATATCTGCCATTTTTTATGTTACATAGGTATTTTCTAGTGTAACATTTTAATTCCTTTGTTGTTTCTTTTACTATATATATATATTTTAACAAACATGTTTACTTTTTTTATTTTAATATGTTATGTTAATCACCATACATTACATCATTAGTTTTTGATGTAGTGTTCCATGATTCATTGTTTGCATAGAACACCCAGTGCTCCATTCAGTACATGTCCTCTTTAATACCCATCACCAGGCTAACACATTCCCCCACCCCTGTCCCCTCTAGAACCCTCAGTTTGTTTCTCAGAGTCCATAGTCTCTCATGGTTCGTCTCCCCCTCTGACTTCCCCCCTTCATTTTTCCCTTCCTACTTTTTTTTTTTTTAACATATAATGTATTATTTGTTTCAGAGGTACAGGTCTGTGATTCAACAGTCTTACACAATTCACAGCGCTCACCATAGCACATTCCCTTCCCAATGTCTATCACCCAGCCACCCCATCCCTCCCACCCTCCACCACTCCTAACAGATTTTATTTATTTGAGAGAGAGAGAGAAAGAAAGAGAGAGAGAATGAGCAGGGCAGAGAGAGAGGGAGAAGCAGACTCCCAGCTGAGCAGGGTGCCCACTGTGAGGCCTGATCCCAGGACCCTGGGATCATGATATGAGCCGAAGGCAGATGCTTAACCGACTGAGCCACCCAGGCACCCCTTCTTTTACTGTATTTTAAAAGTAATTTCATTAGTGGTTTTCCTGGGCATTACAAACAATCTAGTTTGGATTAATATCAATTTAATTTCATAGTAAACTAAAACTTTTATCTTACATAGTTCCATTCCCTTCCCCCTCTCTTATGCTATTATCATCATACAAATTAGATCTTTAAAAATTATATATACCCATCAACACAGATTTATAATTATTGCTTTGGGCAGCTTTTACTTTTGATTGGAGGGGAAAAAGTTAGAAAAAGAAAATATATCTATACTTTTTAATTTACCTATGTAGTTATCATTATTGTGCTTTTTATTTCTTTGTGAAGATTCCAGTTACTTTCCAGTAACCTTTCATTTCTGCCTGAGGGCTCCCTTTAGCATTTCTTGTAGGGAAGGTCTGCTAGTGATAAATTCTCTCAGTTTTTGCTTATCTGAAAATGCTTTAATTTCTCCTTCATTTTTGAATGATAGTTCTGCTGGACACAGAGTTCTTGGTTGATATTCTTTTCTTCCAGCACTTTGAATATGTCATCACAGTGCATTCAGAACTCCATGGTTTCTGATGAGAAATTGGCTATTAATCTTATAGAGGATGCCTTGTATTTGACGATCTGCTTCTCTTGCTGCTTTCAAGATTCTCTTTTTGTCTTTGTCTTCGGAGAGTTTGATTATGATGTGTTTTGGTATGGATCCCTTTATCCTTGTTGGATTTTGTTGAGCTTCTTGGATGTGTAGATTCATATTTCCCATTAAATTTGGGAAGTTTTCATTTTTTTAAAAGATTTATTTATTTATTTGAGAGAGAGAGAGCAAACATATGAGTGGGGGGAAGGGCAGAGGGGGAGGAAGAGGGAGAGAGAATCTCCAGAAGACTCCCATCTGAGCATGGAGCCTGATGCTGGGCTCGATCTCATGAACCTGAGATCAGGACGTGAGCTGAAACCAAGTCTGACACTTACCCGACTGTGCCACCCAGGCACCCCTTGGTCATTATTTCTTTAAATATTCTATCTACACTTTTCTCTCCTTTCTTTTTGGGACTCCCATTATGTGTATGTTACTATGTTTGATTGTGTTTCACAGGTCTGGTCTCCAAGGCTCTGTTCATTTGTCTTCTTTTTTCTTTCTGTTCCTCAGGCTATATAATTTCAATTGATCTGTCTTGAGGTTTGATGATTTTTCTGCCTACTCCAATCTGCCACTGAGCTCCTCTAATATACATTTCATTTATTATACTTTTCAACTCCAGAATTTATATCTGGCTTTTTTTTTCCCCCACAAAAAAGAAATTTTATAGAATCTTTTTAATTAAAAAAAATTTATTTTTTAAATGTTCTCTATTTGGGAAGAAATTGTTTCTTTGTTCTCTTTAGTTCTTTAGATATTATTTCCTAAGTTCTTTGAACATAGTTACATTACACTATGTTCACACAGTTACACTAGTGAACATAGTTACACTTTGAACATAGTTACACTAGGTCTTTTAAAGTCATTTAAACTGTCAGGTCAAATTATGACAGTTCCCTGAGACCTGCCAGAGGATGGGAGCTTCAAACCCATGGCTCCCTCTGGGAGCTGATAGGCTTCTGGTTTCACAGTGATGAGTTGATTGATTTTCAAGGCTACTGTAGAACTGGGGAGAGGGTGAGGGGTATATGGCAAATTAAGATGCCACAAAGCTTGCTGCTTTTACCAAGATTCTGCTGCCTTTTTTTTGAATAAACACTTAGAGTGTTACAAGCCTTTGGCTAATACCCAATGTTCCAAAAAAGTTGATTTTGACAATCCCTGTCAGTGTTTTCGTTGCTTTTATGAAGAAATGGATTTCTGGAGATCCTTACTATGCCATTCCTGCTGATATCCCAATTCTTTATTTTTAAGTGAAAAATATACATACATGGAAAGACTAATATTCTCTCCCACATTTTTTTTTTTAAAAAGATTTATTTATTTGAGAGAAAGAGAGAGAGAGCACGAGAGGGGGGGAGGCAGAAGGAGAAGGAGAGAAAAAATCCTTAAGCAGACTCCCACTGAGCATGGAGCATGATGTGGCCCTCAATTCCAGGACTCCAAGATCATGACCTGAGCCGAAATCAAGAGTTGGCTGCTTAACTGACTGAGCCACCCAGGTGTCCCTCTTCCCACATTCTGATACATCATGATCTCTTGCCTGCCACCAGTCTCTCTCTGTTTTGCTTACCAACAGTAAGTGAATCTTTGCATAAAACACCATGGTGATAGGTTCACTCCAGGGAGCAGAGGCTTCCACCAACCTTATCTTGTCTTCTTCAGGTTAAAATCTAGTTCTTTTTATGTGGCCCTCCAAGTATGCACAATCTGTATCCAATCTGAACTGGAGGTCCTACAAGTTGGGTTCTGATCCCAACTTACTTCTTGTGGAACCTTCTGTACCTACTGTACAAGGTATAGAACATTATCAAGAACCTACTATGTGCTGAACTTAGTATCAGGAGATATAGATAAGTAAACCCATAGTTACAATACCTGCTAGCTGGGAGCTACGTAGAAGGGTCAATTAAGAAGATATCTGAGGGGCACCCAGGTGGTTCAGTCGCTTGAGCATCTGCCTTCAGCTCAGGTCATGATCCCAGGGTCCTGAGATCCAGCTCTACATCAGGCTCCCTGCTTAGCAGGGCATCTGCTTCTCCCTCTGCCTCTGCCCCTCCCCCAACCCGTGCGCACATGCTCTCTCTCTCTAATAACTAAATAAATAAAATCTTAAAAAAAAAGAAGGTATCTGAGAAAGTGCCTTTGAAAATGTGAAGAACTACAGAAGTGAAAGTTATTACTGTGAGCTTATTTCTGATTTATTTACCTCTAAGTACAATACCTTCAAAGGTTTAAAGGTTTAGTCTAAAATAAATGAAATAAATAAATAAAATCAGTTTTCTTCCCTAAATATAAGGCAGTATTGTGACAACCTTGGCACTTCTGCATAATAGGAGGCCGTAGGAAGATCTGTTGACTTTGCAGCATTTGTGCCCTCAGCTTTAAAGCAGAAATGACACCTGTCCTGCTTACTTCCCAGGACTGTGGTGAAGGACTGCAGAAGACACATGGAGGGTCCCTGTGAAGTGCCTTACAAATTTCACTTATTATCAAAATAATTAGTATAAATACATAAAAATAAATAATAAAATACTCTTATTTTTTATTACCTATGCATCTGAGGTTGTGGCGTCTTCATTTGAACTTCGCTTTGGGCAATGTAATGAGAATAAGTAATTTGTCTCAGTTAAACATTCTGTGGGCTATCTTTTGTGAACAGAGGGTCACAATCACATTGTGAAAACATCAATGATTACGGATATGTCACCAAAAATAACTGTGGAGGAAAATAAAAGCTGTTACTTACGCTTTGCTTTTAACTGTCCAAGGATGGAATTTTCTCCTCTGCACATGGTCCTGAGCACATGTAAAGGAAAGAAATAATTATGGAGGTTTCAAAGGAACCAATCTCAACTTGCAATATCTGTGGAGTATCGTCCTACCCCAAGTAAAAACAGAAAAGTGCTTTTATGAGAAGATGCTACATAGATTTAAAAAGATAAAAAAAGGTGGCTCAGTTGGTTGGGCGACTGCCTTCAGCTCAGGTCATGATCCTGGAGTCCCGGGATCAAGTCCCACATCGGGCTCCCTGCTCGGCGGGGAGTCTGCTTCTCCCTCTGACCCTCCCCCCTCTCATGTGCTCTCTTTCTCTCAAATAAATAAATAAAATCTTAAAAAAAAAACTAAACAAAAACAAAAAAACCCCACCTGGATATCACTTTTGTAATGTCACTGATGGGACAAGATAGTTGTTTTGAGGTAGGTAAATGGAAAAGCCATAAAATTGATATTAGATTTCATAAAAAGGTGCTATTTTAAAAAGATGGGCTATGAATGAACTTTCCCTCTTAGAAAATTCGGTGACAGCAAAGATGAATTTAGAATACCTCAATAGGCGAGAACACTAACTCACTCACGTTACTTTCAGAGGTGCTTAAAAGGGCAAACACTTAGTAGAATAATTTCAGAGCTAAACTCTATACGGAGGCTGTCTCCGCAAAGTTGGCAAATGCCTTAAAAGTGAAAAACAGTCTCAAATAACTGACTCTGCTAATGATTTTGTTTCTCACAACTCTGATAATAGTCAATGAATTATAAAGACTGACAAACCAAAAAAAAAAAATTCTATGCTCCATCTGCTTGCTCTGTAAAAATAATTAAAAATACAGTTACGCTTGGGAAATACTGATATTCTTAAAGATGATGCCAGCAAATACAGATGTTTTTGCATAATAAAAGGTTAGAATTTAGTTGCTGAACAAAAGCCAAGCATGTTATTTCATTCAGTTGGTTCAAACCCAAGAAAATAGTCATCGAAAATAATTACAATTGACAATATTCCAAAAATAATATTAGAATGGCAAACCAAGTGGATAAAATCCAATTAAACATTATGTCAGTGCCTTAAATACATGAAAAGCTTTGTTTGTCATGTTATAAATCAGATAATATTAGAAATGGGCAAATCTTCAATCAAAGCATATAGGCCAAAGCATAGTTAAAGTTCTCTCATACTGTAACCAGGCACAAGAATCTAAATATATATATATATATATATGTATATATATATATATACATACACATACACACATATATATAGATCCTGGCAGGCAGGCATACCTCAAAAAGTCCGTAAAAAATGAGAGGACTAAAAAAAAAAAAAAAAACCATCGCACAATGGTGCCCACCAACTGTGCCGAGGACCCTCAGATCCTGCAGGGGGTACCTGTGGGGGCGGGAGGCAGGAGGGCATCTATGCCCCTCCCCACCATTTGACCAAGTGCCTGGAACCTTATCTGCTTTACACATTAGGGGTTCTGTGTAAGGTCTCATTGCTTCCTCCCTGACAAAAGGGTTTGGTTAGAAAGTTGGGAAGCTACAGATGGTTCTGAAAGACAAGGGCTATTCAGAGAAGATATCCAGGTTCTAGTCCTTGCTCTGACTTAGAACAAGTGTGATCCTGAGCAGAGCTCTTTTGTATCTCAGGTCACAGTTCTTGTTACTGGGAGCTGGGATTCATGCCCAGACCTGTCCACTTTCCTCTTCACTGCCATTCTCTTTCCTAGCTAAGTAACCCAGAGAGAATGTTAGCAGGGCCTTTCCATCACTTGCTACACCACCTCTCTCTGTCTGCTCACCAGACATACCTCCCAACCCTCCTCATAATGTTCTACTGGCCAAGTCTGAAGCTTCACAGGTCTTTTTGAGTGAGTATGGCAATTCTGCTTTTTAGAATATTGAGAATAGGATTTAATATTTTCCTTAAAATTTTAACAAAGATGTGGCAGAGAAAGCAGAATTAAAATCCCAGGAGGTAGGAAAGAACCTTCATACTTCATATATTGGCAAAGGCCATCATTACCAACCTTGTTGAAAACCTCACTACCTAAAGAATCATAAACACCTAGAAAACCATACTACTTGAAGCATTAAATTTTCTTCTTCACAGAATATGGAAAGCTCAATAACTGTGGTGGCTTAAAGATAATTTTTAAACCAATATTACATATAAATATTATTATGTATATATGTATATACATATACATATATATAAAGTCCTTGTCTGCATTTATAAGATATATGTATATGTATGTCTTGTGTATAGGCAATGAATATAAAAGAGAGATTTATATTTCAGTTCTTTTTATATTTGCCATGTGTTCTGGGCCTGCCATTTACAATTTTAGGCTCTATTTGAATTTTATCAACTAGTAAACAGGCCAAGATCCAAAAGTAAAATAAAGTGTTCATCTGTTCAACACTCCCCGAATAGATGTGGAGAAACATTTCCATTCCTTTCACCAGCTTACGTGCGTGACTGAGAGAAAGCTGAAAACAGATGACTTTAAAACTTTGGCACCTGTAGTTGAAGTGCATTATGGCTTGCAGAGCATTTCCTCCACCGGTTGAGATGTCGCCTTCAAATCCTGGAAGCAGTGGTACCACCACATACACCCGGTATCTACGGCTTTCCCTACAAAAGTCAGATGCAGAGCCATTCACCAAAAAATGATAGCTAAGCAGTTCACACGGTTTTAGAGACTGAGCGAATGGCTTCCTACAATACATTCTATCCCATTTCAGGGCTTGGAAGGTGCTGTTGGATTGGAGGCCAGAAGCTGCTATCGAGGTAACAGTTCATAACAACCTAAAAAATAAGCTGAACTTGGCAATAGAGTGGGAACTCTACTCACTATCTCTCTGCAGCATAATTCTTCCTGTAATCAACCCATGCTTGGATCCCATGGAAGGTGGGGTGGGGGTTATAACAAAGTTTTGAAAAAGACGTCATCATAATAGTTTTATGTATAACACGTTGTATCCATTAGTACCTTGCTCAGAGCCCAGCAGGTATCCCTGTCTCTCTTTATAGGATACACAGGAGGAAGTGAAAGCTGAAAATGTCTGTGGTATCTATGTGGTCGAGAAATCTTTTCCATAGGTCTGAGAGATCCATAGTCACAAAAAGATGCTGCTACTTAATCTCTTCTTAATACTTGATTTCTAAGGATCACTTTCTTCTAAACAACTACATTTTTCTTTCACGTGAATATTATTGCTCCTCTCTGAGGAGTCAGATTTCATTACAGTGTGTCTGATCACCAATGTTTGTATCAGGGCGCATGGGCAGTGAAGTTCCGGGCAGAAGTGATGGCCAGCACCAGGAGTCTGGAGGCCCATGAGCCTAACTGCCCTGCTGAGGAACAAGGCATCTGAATTAGGTTGTTGCAATGGCATGAATTAATCACTAGATGGCAAACGTAGTTTGAGTTGGAAAAATTAATTTAAAAAAAGTACTCTTCAAGTTCTCTGCCTGATAAGGGTAGGAGGCTCACATCCTTAAATGATAAACAAGATAGCAGGGAAAGAAGAAGATCAGGAATACCTAAGCTATTTCCCCACTGCCAGCATTTAAAAGTCCAAATGAGTTAAGCCAGACACTTAAAAATGGACACCATCTGGCCTCAACTGCCTTTCCAGAATCGCTTTCCCATAGGATCTTCCCAGACCCACAGCCCAGTGCCAGACTACTGCCCTTTGCTCAGATGTATCCCTCCCTACTAAGGAAGGTTGGCTCATCTGCCCTCTGAGTCTGGAATACCCTTTCTGCTCACAGAATCCCACTTCTCCTTCCAGGGCAGCTGAAAGGCACCTTCCTTGGTCAAACCATCCTGAATCTTCCAGTCAAAGCTAGTTTGCTCCTGCCTCTGCACTCCCATGGCACATGGCAGGGATTTCTATTCAGCATTCTTTTTGCTTTACACGATAGTGACACACAGATCTGCTGCCTAGGCTATGGTGATAAGCTCTTCTGAAGTCCAGGACCTATGTCCACACATCTTTCTATTTTGGGCAGTGCATACACAGTATGCACTTGGTACTATCTGCTTTGGGAGAACGGGGTCAAGTTGGAAGCAGGTTTGTTTCTGGGAAGCCACTGGTAGAGAAGAGATTAAACTGCAAAAGTTAAATTAAGTCTTTCTTTATATTACATTTTATTTGAATTTTTATTGCAGTATAATATACATAGCACAAAAGTGGTCATTTTAACCATTTTTAAGTGTACTGTTCAGTGGCATTAATTACATTCACATGTTGTGCAACCATCATGATATCTACTTGTACAACTTTTTCATGACCCTAAGCAGAAACTCTGTGATAGTTAAGCAACAACACCTACATTTTCCCTCCCTCCGAGCCCCGTAACCTCTCATCTACTCTGCATCTCTGAATTTGCCATTCGAGATATTTCATCTAACTGGAACCATACAATATTTGTCCTTTCCTGTATGACTTACTCCACTTAGCAAAACGTCCTCAAGATTCATCCACGTGTCAGGAATTCTTCCCTTCTTGTGGCTGAATAATATTGCACTGTAGGTATAGTCCCCATGTTGTTTATCCAGTCATAGGTTGATGGGTACCTTTTGGCTCCTGTGACTCATGTTGCAGTGAACATTGGCATCCAGAAGCTCTGTCCCTGTTTTCAGTTCTTCTGGGTATTTACCCAGGAATGGCACTGCTGGCTCATAGATTTATTCTATATTTAGCCTTTTGAGGAATCACCAATTAACTTATATTTCCTAATGGGTCATATATTGCTCAGAGTACAAAATTTAAGAGGTAGAAGATTATATGATGAAAACAAAATTCTCTCTCTCCTTTGTCCCCAAGCACTGTTTCCCCTCCTTGAGGGCAACTCCTATTGCCTTCCATGTTCTTCCAGAAATAGTCTATGCATTTATAAGCATATGTATGTACTTTTCTGTGCAAATGTTAGACTACTTATAAAGACTTTTACGAATGTTATTTTTATTTATGCCTGTACCTTGTCCATTTTTAACAACAGTGATACAGAATTCCACATAACATCCTTACCATGATATTTAAAGCAGTTCTCTATCAATGGGTGTTTAAATTGTTTCTAATTTTTTACTACTTCGAAATACCTACTTTCTTATTTTTTTAAATTTTATTTTATTATGTTATGTTAATCACCACACATTACATCCTTAGTTTTTGATGTAGTGTTCCATGATTCATTGTTTGTGCATAACACCCAGTGCTCACCGCAGAATGTGCCCTCTTTAATACCCATCACCAGGCTAACCCATCCCTCAACCCCCCTCCCCTCTAGAACCCTCAGTTTGTTTCTCAGAGTCCATAGTCTCTCATGGTTCGTCTCCCCCTCCAATCGAAATACCTATTTTCTTATGGATGCTGACCCACGTCAGTCATTTCTTCACAGTTGTGAAATGTGAATACCACTTCGGAGTGATACCGACGGTCTTAAAAACCAAGGGTTTGTGATTCTGTTTGTACAAGATGGTTCCCTTTTATAAGAGCAGAAATGACCTCAAAACAGAGGACCTCATATGTAGGATATTGGGAAATGTCTTCAGACATTTCTTATGTCTTCAGATAAAATATTCTTGCAAATTTAGTTTGTAGGAATCAGAATGTCCACGTTTTCTTGTTCTTAAGACTCTGTTAGCTCCATATCGAGGTCTCTGCCTTTTACAATGCAGCAGTTCTTGAATTTCTTGAATGATGAAAATTTTAAACTGTGTTCAGCCAGTCAGCAGAAATGACTTAGATTTTCACTGTTGTAGAAAAAGGGGCTCCTGGATTCCAAACCATAAAATTATGGCTGAGTTTAAGCCAATGAAGAGAAAAATTCTATGTGATACTATGTCCAATCTCCTTCCTTGATCACATCCCCAGAAAACAATAGCTCTCAGCTGCCAAGGATTCTGAAACACTGCATGCTCATAAAGTCGGGGTGGTGCAGATGGTAGCCATCAGCTTAGGGCAAGAACCTGAGCTCCTAATGTGCAGAATTATTTATGATCTTAAAAAAAACAAGATAAGAGCTAGTGGGGGCTCCAAGCCTTCATGCAGGCAATCGCTTCACCCACTGCAGTTCAGAACAATTTTATAAAATTGCTTTCTCAGGCTTTTTGTTAAAATAAGTTTTCTTTCAAACCTCACAAACTCTCATAGCAGTGCTGGGTCTAATATCTAAAAACTGGAAATCAATGTCCAATAATGGAGGATGGTTAATTAAATTATGTTACAGCCACTCAAAGAGTGATCATTTTGCAGCCACGAAAATGACCATGATGATGACTTACTAGCAAAATACTGCTGGGATTGTGTTAAAACGGCCCCTAATGCAAAGTTACAATCATAAGACAATTACAGATGTGGCAGGTTGATACTATGAAATATGTGATAACTTTTCCCCTTAAATGCATTCCCTTCCCTCACCCTGTGCCTGGAGATATGAAGCAGGCATTGTTCCCAGGTGGTACTCTCACAAAAGAACCAGGGCACAAGATATCAACTTCTTAGATCTGGGGAACTGGGTAGAGATCCTCTGAGCTGAGCCAAGAGTATAGACAAAAGAGTGAGACTCAGTGCAGGGATCCTGCCCTTCACTCTCAAGCAGAATTCCAGGGAGAACAGGAAAGACCCCATCACCTTCCAACAGAATAGGGGAGCCATGAGGATCTGAGTGTGAATCATAATCTTGCTTCCCAAGGAACCCCAGAGAAAGGTCCACCAGCCCCCATGATGCAGCAGCAACAGAAGAGAGGTGGAGGAAAGGCAGGTCTGACAAGCGAAGGGGGAGGCCCCCACGTCACGGTAAGCAGATGCCGGAACAGGCCCAGGAGAGATCAACACTGAGGGCTGGAAGTCTCTTTGCAAATATCCAGGGCCCCTTACCATCCATACCAAGGATGGGGTGCATCAGCGAGGGGAAGGGAGGAGAAGACTGGGCTGTGCTGAGTGACAGCATACAGAGCAGAAATAGCGGATAGCAAGAAACTGCTGAATTTGGCCACACTTAGGTGTGGAAGTGACTAAATTTCCTTCTGTTGTGTGGAAATGGGCTTTGAAATAAAAATTCAGGTGATCTATAGAAAGAGGAAATAAATTACAACTCAAGAGAAAATATATGTATATTAATATGAACAAAAAAGAAATAAGTAAGTAAAAAGTGAGTTTTTAGGGTGGGGAGGGTGTGGGACCTTTAATGTTTTCCATTTTTGTGATTGCTGAAATGTTGCCTGTACCTTTAAAAACAGAGCACTAATTCACCATGTAAACGGTCCTGGCTTTCCTCTACACTACCCTCCTTGTTCTTCCCTCAGGAAAAACCCTCTCCTCCTTCCCTCTTCATCATGAAGGGCTGTCAGGAGAAGGGGGGCTGCCTAGAGTGGGATCTCAGGATCTGTGCGAAGGCCCCCGAGGAGCCTGTCATGTTTCTCCAGGGATGAGATGTTTTGTTTTTTGAGAATTTGGGATTCATAGATCATTGCTATAAGCTCCAAGAGCTGGTATAAATCCTATCATTATAGATTTTGCAGCAGCAAACGCTGCCAGGACTAAGCAGAACTGTGACTGGGGCAGAGTGTTCTTGCGGGGAGAATTCTGTACCGTAGTGGTATCGGTTATGTGAGAACTGGA